ATATCAAAGAGTTCACCATCAGGAGAATAATACCAACAATGAGTAAAAAAGTACTAAAAACAAGACTGAGCGCTAGTTACTGTAGAAATAATGGAAGGGGATACAAAAAGTGCACAGGATCCCAGATACCCAAATCACAAAGGTCTGTTAAGCAGTTGGCATCAGACTCCTTGTCAGTAATAGTTAACACAAAAAAGGAAGCAATAACCTGTATCAGGCTCACAGGGCAGCGAAGTGTGAACCAGAGGGGCTTTTTCAATATTGGATGGCCTTCAAACATCAAGGCTATAGAAAAACCAAGGGAAAGAACTTGCAAACATTTCACCCAAGAAACTTTCCTGAAGAGAATACACTGTGTCTTAGGGAATGCTTAGGGAATCATTGACCAGTTGATGCAAACATTTCACTACACATATAAAATCAAAACAAAATTAAGAAGTATATATACATTATATACTTGATAAGCTATACCACACCAAACAAAATGGGAGTAGAAGAAAAAAATGCAAAATAAGCTAATTAAGTGCTTTGTCAGTAAATAGATGGGAGTCAAGTGGAACAATTTAGATCAACAAACTGAAAGGAGACTAAGGACATGTAGGAACATTAAGAAATATAATGATATTGACTAAAATTGCATTGTGGAAAGGAGAGTGTGGGATTCATAAGCTAATTTTATTATTTCTCAAAATAGGGAATCAAAATAGAAAATACAGTATCTGATGAAAAGGGGAAGGGATTAAAGTTAGTATATAAGATTTTCTTAGAACCAATCTGTAAATTTCACAAACTGCCTAATTCCACATGAATGACATTCTATGTCTTTATATAAAGATAGCCACTAGAAAACAATTCAAATGTTACCAAACACCAAAAGAAAAGCAAAAATTGAATGAAACAACAACAAGGTGAAAAACAAAAGAAAACATAATAAAATACTTTGAGTATATTTAACTTATACTTGATAAGCTAGAATATGTTAGTAGTAAGGAGACAGGCTCAGTGGTAAATTCCTGTAGTCTCAGATGTTTGGGAGGTTGAGGAAAAAGTATGACTTGAGCCCAGGAGTTAGAGGCCAGTCTGGGCAATGCAGTAATACATGGTCTCCAGAAAACAAAAACAAAGTAAAAAAAAAAGTGAAATAAATATAAGTACTAGGAAAAAAATCGATTTTTCAATAAATGGAAATACCTAAAGCAGTTATTATCAGTTAAAGAGAAGTGGCATTATAAGTAACAAAGAAAAACCTAACTTACCATTACATAAAAAAGACAAACTAAAACAAAGACTGAAAGGTACTTTTTAAAATATAGGAAAAAAAAAGGGGAAAAAAGATCCAAGTGTCATATTTAAGATGCCAAAAAACTGAGATGAAAAATTATTAAACATAAAATATAGCTTTTTTACTAGTAAAGCCCAAATTACAGTAATAATATTAAATTATTTATATGAATATTTATAAAATGTGAACATCAATGAAATAAGTACCAGTAGTACTATTAATAAAATTATAGGAAATATAAGGAGAAATAGAAACAACCTAAAAATAGAAGAGTATATTTTAAAGTCCAAAACATATCTGAAAGACAGAATGTAAGTAAGAGTAATAAGACAGCATCATAATAAGGTAGAACTTTAAAAAGTAGACAGCAAGGGCTGGGGATGTGGCTCAAGTGGTAGCAGGCTTGCCTGGCATGCGTGCGGCCCGGGTTTGATCCTCAGCACCACATATAAACAAAGATGTTGTGTCTGCCGAAAACTAAAAAATTAATATTAAAAAATTCTCTCTCTGTCTCTCTCACTCTCTCTCTTTAAAAAAAAAAAGTAGACAGCAAAGCACATACTTAGATATTCCTTAATAGTATATTCTTTTCATTACACACTTACATTCATGAAAATTGATAAAATAATAAAACACAAAACAAATATTAGAAAATTACAAAATAAGAAATATATGTGCACAACATTTTATGAATCTAACAAAGTAAAACTAGTAGTTATTAACAAAATAATACTTTGTAAAAATACCTTTTCTACTGGAAAATTAAAAACTATCCACAGTAAAGAACTCTTGAGTTAAAAACTAAGAAATCAAAGGTTCCATATATTTTAGGAAAAAATACTGAAAATATTACATATCTGTATTGATAAGATATAGCTTATATGAATTTGAAAAGATATATGACCTTAAAAAATATTTAAGAAATTGATTTTTAAAGATAAACCAATAAATGGAAAAGATACAATAAAATAATCCAATAAAAACTGAATTAATAAAGATAAAAGCAAAATTTTGTGAGCTTAAATATTACAGAATTTAAAAAATTAATAAAAATTTAGTTCTTTGGAAGTCACTAATTATTAAAAATCTAAATGGAGAAAATAAAACTAAAAAATGATAAATTTAAGGAATGAAATAACCAGAACAGAGGAAAGTTTGGAAACATAAATTTGTTTTGCAAAATTCTATTAAAACAGATTTTACAAATATCAACATTAGCTGAGCGTGGTGGCGCACATCTGTAATCCCAAAGACTCCTCTGGAGGCTGAGACAGGAGTATAGCGAGTTTAAAGCTAGCCTCAGTAAAAGCAAGGTGCTAAGCAACTCAAGTGAGACCTGGTTTCTAAATAAAATACAAAATAGGCCTGAGGATGTGGCTCAGTGTTTGAGTGCCCTTAAGTTCAAATCCTGGTATCCCCCCCATCAAAAAAAAAATCAAAATTAAATACATATTTCCAGGGAAATGAAATTTGTCAAAACCAATCCTATCAAAAAAATTTGATATTTTGTTTAGATCATTCTCTAGAAAGATGAACAAATTTGTCAAAGAGCTACTCTACAAATAAATACCAGTAGATGAATTCACAGGGGAACCAACCACATCTAACTTTAAAACTGTGGATTATCTCCTGTTTCAATGATTCCACAGCAAAGAAAACAGAGAAACTCCAAACTATTTTTAATGAATTAATCACCTGAGAAAATTGCATATTATATGCAAAAATTACACCTCAATGTTCCTAATGAATATTGATATAGCATTCTAAGTTACTATTAGATGAGAGAATATTGCATATTGCAAAATGAAATATATTGTGTTCTTTCAGGGATGTAAGAATGGCTCCATGTTTGTAACTTCATTTATAAAATACCACAGAAAGGAGGAATTACCAATTACCAATTACCAAAGATGCTAAAAAGCACTTGTACAAATTTGAACATTCCTTCTTAATAAATGAAAGTCAATGGAAACTGCCTTAAAATTACAAAGTACATGCAACTCAACCCACATGCCATCATTGGAGCGATTGGGAAGCACTGGTGGCATATACACAAACATCAGGAACAGGGCATGATAATGTTCACAGATAATTTCTTTTAATGATATATTGGAAGTAATACCAAGTACATTTAGATAAGAGATGTACCCAAATTGGAAAGAAAAAAATCTCTATTTCATATAATAGAATATTTTAAAAACTCATTAGAATCAATGTATATGAAACTACGAACTAAAACAATTTGCTAAGATAGTAGGACATAAATTTAACAAACTGAAAAAATCAGCAGCTTTCATATATGAAAAAAATTATTAGAAGATATCATGAAAGAGAAGATTTATATTAGCAACACAGGCAGCAGCAGCAACAACAGAACAATTTAAAGCCCATGAAGCAGATTAATCAAATGAGAAAATATTTTAAATATTCCCTGAAAGACATAAAACTCAGACTTAGAAAAGTAGATATATATTTTATAGTCTTAGAATAAATGACTCAACATTATAATTACTTAAATACTCAAGTTAATTAATAAAGTCAAGGTGAATCCAATATAAATATCAAAAGTATTTTGTTCTGAATCTATAAAAGTTATTTATAAAGTTCATATTGAAAATTCATTTAAAATAACCCAGACCCCTAAAAATTAAATTCAATCAATGAGATCAAACACTAACTGTATATGTAAAAGAGTATAATTCTGAAGATAAATAACCATTAGAAAAAAACAAGTTCAGAGATAGCCCCAAATACATAATGAAGTACATGATAAAAGTGACATCTTAAATTTCTGGTGAAAATTTTAAATAAATGCTATTAGAACAACTGAGAATCACAGATAAAAATATAAATATGTACTGTACCCCAAAGCAAAATATATTGCACATTTTAAAATATGAAATCATATAGATTCCAATAAAAAAGTAAATTTATTTACTACCTTGAAGTAATGAAGATTTTTCTGATTATGACTCAAGAATTCCAAAACAACAAAGGAAAAAGTTGGTAAGTAACCATATCAACACTCACCCCCATTCCCTTTTATTTAACAACAACAACAGACCATTCGAAGTAAAAACCAAATTATTTACTGGGAAAGCTATTGGCAATTTGTTTTAGAAATTGAAAAGAAGAGAAAAAAGTAATAGAAAATGTGTATAGGAGATGAAGAGTTGACAAAAGAGAAATGCCCATGGTGCTTAAATATATGACCCTCACCCATAATAAGGGAAACATAAGCTGCAGCTAATGGAGGTCCTTCCCACTTATAATGACTAAAAAATTCAAGAAGACTGTTTCTGCTGTCTGAGTTCTGGGGAATAGGGATGATATACTGCTGGTGGTATGCAAAATGATTCAAATCATATATATAGGAATTTGGGAGTATGTGGAAAGATTACATAGCATTAGCTCTTTGACTTAGGAATCCCACCTGGGATAATTCTGAAGATAGTTTTGTCTTTAAGAATGTATATATAGACATATACATACACACAATTCAGTAGAAGATTAGTAAAAAAATTACTATATATCCAAATCAAATCACTTCTAAAGCAGCTGATAAATTTCCTAAGGCACCAAAGGGAAATATCAAGTTTGACTTTCTTATATAGATCTATATTATTTCAAATGTAAATAAATTTTGAGAACTGAATAAAAATGAAGAATAGATGCAAATTATTACAAGAACATCAAGAGTTTTATGCCTTTTACTTACGGTTTACAGTTTTGACTGGTAATATAGGGTTTACCCTCTCTGGGGAGGCAGCATTTTCCTCATCTGTCACATATTCAAAGTTAATGATGAACATCATAGCGACACCCTCTTGGTTTTTCACTGGAATTACGTGAGTGTTACAAATGAAAGTGGACCCTAAGGAGATGAAAAACAAAGTATTAGATTAAAAAAATGCCTTCATTTTACACTATCAGTAATACTAAATTTGAAATACAATCTTACAGAATTGTCTATCTTATATAACCACTGAAATTAATTAAAAATAATTGATTTTCACTTCATATTTTATTGCATATGTATTTATTTTATGTATGTAGAAACATACATAGTTTACAGGCTAATTTTGTTACCACACTTTGGAAAAGTAGAATGTAAATCCCTTCAGCTTTTACATCATCCCTACAATAGTAAATATGGGGGGGGGGAAGGATGCATCATTTAATTTTTTTTAGAAAAAAGCTCTTAATCTTTCCTTATATATTTGCTTTGAACCTGAACTTACATAAGGTATGACTATATAAACATGAAACTAATCTATTTTGTAAAATCTTGATTTTAAAACACTAAGCAAATTTTGTCTTTTTTTTCTTTAATTTCTTGGACATAACTAATTAATTATAGACTTAGACTTTGACTACTGTATTCATTTGTTCCCTATTACTATCAGCTACCAACACTGATCCTCCAACAGATATATGCAATACTGTTGACTCACTGACTTTTTAAAAATGATCCAACTTCTGACTGACTCCTTGGACTTGACTTCTAGTATTATCTCAAGGCAGTTTACACACATCCTTCCTTTTGGAATATCTCAAAGCAGTTTACTCACATCCTCATATGAAGGAAATCTCACAAGGCAGAGATAGGTTTGGGTTCTAAAATGTATTTTAAATGCAAATTATTCAGGAAGGGTTCTTGATCTCTCACAAAATAGTAGTTTGACTTCTTTCTTTTTTTTAATAGCTTAGCTGAGATCTTCATGAATCTTGAAGAGAGTGATATTTCAATGTATGGGCAAAAACAGGTTGAGAGCCAGGCTGGTCTGGCATTGAACTTCACAGGGAATTTGAGAAAGTGCCTAGGACACCTGAAGGCTGGGAACAGGACCACTGGCATGTGACAGAAAGATGCAGTTGAAGCCCCAACATCTGCAAGGGCCAGTGGGTGCTAGTGACGTCCTACCTATCAAATCAGGTATGAGATAACTCTTTCCTTTCTTCCGACTCCTGCATCATGGACCCTCCTGTTGTCTGAGCTAAGATCAAAAGCTTTTTTCTGATACTACTCTAGATTGAGGACATCACAAGGAATGATTTTTTGAGAGTGGGAGATCTAATTATTATTTGTGAAACTGTTTCAGTGGGCAAATGTATTTTAATTTCCAATTTATTTATGAATACACTTTTAGAACACAGACTATTTGTAAGTTAGAGATGTCTATTATAAATCTATAATTTAGATTTCCACATATGGATAGTCTCCCAAATTTGAAATGGAAAAGACCTTATTTATAACAGAATTCATATATTTTATATGAAGGTGGCTTTAGTTTTACAAGTGTTGGAAAATATGCTTTAAGAATAATATGCAGCACCTTCTGTCTTCAGCTATATCTTCAATTCATTTAATAAAATAGTTAGCTAGAGCACTTGTCATAGTTTCCATGGCAACAAACAGGCCGACTTTAGTAAACAGAAAATAAGCAATTTAAGACTGTTCCATTAGAACTAAATATAGAAGTGCTTCAGGCCAGGCATCACAATACATATTGGTTAAACAGGGAGTCTGAAGAGCTGTGAGAAATAGCCATTATGTACTTTCCTAATGAACCAAAATACATATTGTTTTTACTACTTAAAATGACATTTCCTAGATCATTTAAAATATCATTATGAATTCACAGATTTGATACTTAACAGTTTCGAATCTTCCAACATTTGGGGTACACTGCTAATCACAAAACAAAATATAAAATATGGATTTCTTCCATGAGTATAGGATTTAAGGACAGAAAGCCAATAGGTCTGCAATAGAATATAGAGTTATTTTGTTTTGTGTAATAAATTGAAAACCATGTTTTTCAATACAAATGCTTTCAAATTTGCTGTCTAGTATTGAAAATCATAAAATTATATTGTTTCAGAAAAACAGTTGAGCTCTATGCATTGGCTGCACTGCCAATGCATAGATTTGCTGTCTACTATCATTGTTTCCTACATGTTTCTATTAAACAGTCAACTCCTTTTCAGTTGACTGAAGACTCACGTTTACATGCTATTCACTTTTAGTTTGAAATTTAATATCTCAATCCATCTTGCATAGATGGAGATACATGGGACTTTGAAGAAGAGGAGAATAGAATACATTTTACAGAGCAAAGCTAGTTTAGCTTCCCAATTTCCACAACCTCCAACTTCAGTCAAGATATACCTTTTTAAAGTGACATTTCCCTAAGAAGTCATCACTCATACTCCTAAACATTTTTTCCTGGGTGAGATATTGGGGATAAAAGCAATGGAAATATAATCCAGTAAGTACCAATCTATCACTGGAGAAAAAAATAGAAATATTCAATAATGTTTAAACCAGGGAACTAGAAAAAAAAAAGTCAAGAGCTTGTTAAAATTTATCTTATATCCAAATGAAATCAATAGTGTTTGCTAAGAAACAGCATATTTATACTATTGAAAGCAATATACAGATTCAGTGCAATCCCATCAAGATACCAATGACATTATTCACAGAATTAGGAAAAAAAACAATTCTTAAATTTGTTTGAAAGAATAAGAAACTCAGAATAGCCAAAGCAATACTAAGGAAAAAAAATAAGTGAAGCAGGAGGCATCACAATATCTGATCTGAAATTATACTACAGAGCTGTATGAACAAAACAGCATGGAAGTGGGAAGTGGCACCACAGTGCACATGAAGACCAATGGGACAGCATAGAAGACAGAGAGAAATTCACATATCTACAGTTGTGTAATATTTGACAAAGGTGCCGAGAACATATATTGGGGAAAAGACAGCCTTTTAAACAAATGGTGCTGGGAAATCTCGGTAACTATATATAGACAAATGAAACAAGATCCCTGTCTCTCACTTTGCAGAAAATTTAAGTTGAAGTGGATCAAAGACTTAGGAATTAGATGAGAAACTTTACAACTGCAGCAGGGAAACATAGGGTCATTACTTCATCACTTATGTGCTGGCACCAAGTTCTTTAACAAGAAGATACTCAAAGCACAAGAAATAAAATAAAAAAAATCAATAAGTGGAATGCAATCAAATGAAAAGGCTTCTGCACAGCAAAGGAAATTATTAAGAGCTTGAAAAGAGAGCCAATACAGTGGAAGAAAAATCTTGGCCCGCTACTCCTCTGATAAAGGATTAATATTCAGAATATACAAAGAATTAAAAAAAAAAAACCAGCCAAACAATTCAATCATAAATGGCCAAAAGAATTAAACAGAAACTTCCCAAAAGAAGAAACACAAATGGCCACCAAATATATATAAAAAAAATTATTCAACACCATCTCTAGCAGTCGGGGAAATCAAAACTACATTAAGATTTCATCTCACTCCAGTCAGAATGGTAATGACCAAGAATACACATAACAATAAATGCTGTCAAGGCTGTGAGGAAAAAGGTATACTTGTACATTGTTGGTGGGGTTGTAGACTAGAACAACCACTCTGGAAAGAAGAATATAGATACATTAAAAAATCTAGGGATGAAACCACCATAAAACTCTGCTATCCCCCTGATTGGTATTTTCCCCAAACATCTAAAATCAGTATATTAGAGCAATACAGCAATACATTAATGTTTATAGTATCACAATTCTAAGTATCTAAACTATGGAATCAACCTAGATGCCCATCAATAGATGAATAGATTAAGAAAGTGTGGTCTACATACACAATGGAGTTCTATTCCGCCATAAAAAAGAATTAAATTATGGCATTTGCTGGTAAACAGTTGGAGGATATCATACTCAGTGAAATTAGCCAAACTCGTAAACTCAAAGGTTGAATTTTTCTCTCATGTACAGAAGCTAGATTAAAGTAAAGGAAAGGGAGAGGGAAGAATAGGGTAACATAAAGAACCAGTAAAACATAAATTAACAGACAAGTGAAAGGAAGGAGATGGCAAAGAGGAGGGATTATGAACTAAAATCAATTTCCATGCAGGTACGAGTTTGTCAGGATGAACTCTCAACTTCCATGTGTAATAAAACTAATTTAGAGAAAAAATCATACTTACAAGAACATTATCCATTATTTGTAAAGGTGTATATGCAATTATACTGAAAAAGCATTTAAAAATACACCTAGCTGCATTTTAAAATAAAAAGTCAGGACTCCTTTTGAGCTGCTTTGAAGGTATGTTATTCTATTTGTGGTGTGTATTTACAGCGCATTCTGTGTTCAGCAGAGAAGACAGCATGACTGGAATCACCTGGTGGTCATGGAGTCACATGGTAGGGTGGAGAGAGCACGTAAATCAAAAATAAATCAGGGAGCCACACAATGCAGCTGAAGTTATAGATCTGGAACTTTGCTCTCAAAAGGCAGACACTGGAGAGTTTTATGCGAAGGTTGGCATCATTTGATTTAAAACTATCACTCATGTTTGGGCAAAGAAGAGCTTATACCTAAGGCCAGGCTGAAAGCAAAAAAGGCACTTAGAAAAAGAATGCAACAGCATTGGCAAGCAGTCTAGTGATTTGGACTAGAGTGGTGCCGCAGCAGGTGATGAGGAGGGGTCTGTTTGAGATGCATTGAAGGTAGCAATGATAGAAATCACTGATAGATTGAATGGGATGTGACAGGATGGGAGGGATCATAGTGGATGTCAAATTTGTGTTTAAAAAACTAGAAGAATAGAGATACCATGTTTTAAGTGTGGAAGAGTATGGTGGAAGGTAGATTTGAAGATTGTATATATCCATAGATTTTGAGTGTGTTAACTTTGAGATATCTAAATGGAGATGTCTAGAAGGCAGGGTGTGAAAGAACAGTTCAGTGCAGTGCAATTCAGTTCAGTTCATTCAGAGAGTAGTCTAAGCCAAGGATGTGAATTTGGTAGTCATTGGAGAATGGATTAGATTTAAAGGCTGACTGGAT